GGGGGGGGGGGGGAAGTGAATTTTGCCATCTGGCCCCTAGAAAAGCCCTGTTTGTAAGCACTTGGTGAGGCATTACTGACAGTGCAGTGCTGGGAATTGGAGTGAAAAAGATAACTGTGTCAGACACTAAACTTGCATAAAATACTCAGGTGGCTCATTAAAGGAACCAGTGGGAGACACACTTGAAACTTTAAAAGCCACATCGCTTTTTTAAGATAGAAACCTAGAACGTGGTATAAAATCCAGGAGAGTTCCCTGGGGAGAGACGGATGCAGCCATCCCCAAACCCCAAATCTAGACAAGCTTTGCTTTAGGAGATGTTTCCCCAGACAGCGCTTATTTCCTTTTGCAAAATGGGAAGATACCTCGTAGTCTGGAGCCAGGGGAGGTTCAGGCTGGATATTAGGAAAAATTTTTTCACGGAAAGGGTTCTCAGCCATTGGAATGGGCTGCCCAGGGAGGTGGTTGAGGCCCCATCCCTGGAGGTGTTCAAAAGCCGGGTTGATGTAGTGCTGGGAGATATGGTTTAGTGATGGTGTTGCTTTTTGTTTGTTGTGTGGGTGTCTATTTTTGTCAAAGTTGGGTTGACGGTTGGACAAGATGATCTTTAAGGTCCCTTCCAACCTAGAAGATTCTGTGATTCTGTGTGTGTCAAAGCGGAAAGGAGACGTGCTTGCCTCTTCCTTATGGCTCCTTATAAACCAACCGAATTGTTACTGAGCACAGCACAGTCACACAGCCCCCATGAAATAACATTTTTGCAGAATTCTGGCATCCAGCAAGAAGGACACGATGGAGGAGACACTTGTCGCAGTCGGATTAATAAGGGAGGGAGCAGTAACTGGCAGCTCTAAGTACAAATTACAGCTGGTAAAGCAGGGGCTGTGAAAAAATAAATAAGCACATGTCAAAGAGGGAGGAGGAGGGATCAGGGGACACCCTGTAGAGGCCTGAAGGAGGGGAGTGAAAACTCAGCAGAAAAATGTAATTAAAGAAATCATTCTGCCACTGTTTCTTTCGTATGGGGCTACAGCAAATACCTTCTTCAGCAGAAGGGTATCCAGGGCACCAGGAGGAGAGGATGGCATTGAAGCTTGGGTGAGCACCTTTAAGGAAGATTTACATTTAGAAGTAAACAAAATTGGGTGTTGCTGTCTGAGGAAATCCAGGTGTGCTTATGCTATCTGAAGGTACGGCTCTCAGCTGGGAGATGGCTTACAGCGCTGAAAAACTCTGTCGTTGCCAAAATGGAGGTGTTTTAAAGTGCTGCCCCAGCAGGAGGAGGGGGAAAAATTATTTCTGGGGGGAAAAAAGGCTGAGGAATAAGTTTAGATAAACCTTTTTTTAAAAATCTAAACCTCTTTTCTTGAGCTTTACACGTTACTGAAGCCCCACAGCAGTGTGTGTGGCACGTAGGAGTTACAGGGTACGTTTTGCTGGAGGCAGGAGTGTATTTAGGGAATGAGCATCACCTAATTGGGGAGGAGAAAGGTGCCTTTTACAAAGGCATATAGAAAATCCAGAGGCAGGGCATTTATCTTGGTAAAAAAGACTATGCTGCCTGCCATTCAGCTCCCACGTTTGCTGCTGTTTTGTGTTTGTGGTGTTTGACCCAAGGGGACCTATAAATATTGCACTGTACCCGTGCAATTTATAGTTGCCCTCTCCTCTGGTTTGGGCGGGTGCTGGCCATGAGTCCCACCCTCTTGGATTGAGGGGGAAAGCTGAAGGCAGCTTTGGCATTTAATTAGTGATCATTTAATTTGATCTCAGCGTGAGCGAGTCAAATGGTGGACTGCTAAAGCCCTTTCTGGAGGGCTGCTGCCGCCTAACGCGCCCTCTCGCTCGGGTTGGAATTCATTCATTCCAGCATTTTGCACTTTGCTGGCCAGTTTGTGCCTATTCAGAAGGGAGAGAGATGAAAGGGGAGGGATGCACAGATTTGGTGCCTCTCCCTGCACTTAAAAGGTGAATTCCCCCCTTTCCTTTGCTGTGTGGGTTTTCTTGAGAGCTGCCTGGCACGCTATATTCTGCACCCTGGCTGGCGTGGCTGGGTGTGTACTCTCCCCATGGCTTGGTTGGCAAGGTTTGGGCATAAAAATTAATTCAGGTTTTTTCTGGAATGATTAAGTTGCCTCTGCCCTCCCCGAAGCAGGCTCTGGCTGCCAGCGGGATGTGCACAGGAGCAGCAGCCGTGTCCCGACTTACGGTGACTGAACCGAAATAGAGAGTAATAACTGCAGATCAGAGCTGTGTCTCTCATGTAGGAAAGGATTTTAACTCAAAAGAATCTCTAGGTGCCTACCTAGAGATATACATATATATTTTTTTATCCCACTTTCTGTTTAGTTTCAGTTTTCTCCTGCATTTATTTAGTAAAAGGAGGGATTTCATAGGGGAAGAAGGCACCCAGTGGTGGCTCCCCCAAAACCTCACTCAGAAATGGGTGGAAGGAACCAATAATGTGAACATTCAAGAAAAAAAAAAATCCTGTTAGAAATACTTTATGCAGTTTCTAATGAATCCGGCTACGGTATAGACAGGGTGCTTATTTTTTCCTTTCTGACATATAACCCTTCAAGATTTCTGCAGGGTCAGTAGCTCTGCAAAGGGACCAGAGTGCATGAACCCAGGAGGTGGCTGTGGGTGAAAGCAGAGACTTTTTTGGTTTTGGTCTGATGATGTCTTGCTCCCCTTCCCTCTTTTGCCTGGCTGGAGGAGAGCTCCACACCTTCACTTTCATCCCAGCTGCTGTGGTTTTGGTTTTGGTCTGATGATGTCTTGCTCCTCTTTTGCCTGGCTGGAGGAGAGCTCTGCAGTTCCACTTTCATCCCAGCTGCTGGTGACATGAACCCAGGAGGTGGCTGTGGGTGAAAGCAGAGACTTTTTTGGTTTTGGTCTGATGATGTCTTGCTCCCCTTCCCTCTTTTGCCTGGCTGGAGGAGAGCTCCACACCTTCACTTTCATCCCAGCTGCTGTGGTGCAAAGTCTCTCCAGACGGGGTTTCCTCAGGTCAGATTTTGCAGGGCAGCAATTTAACTTAAAAAATGCTCATGTTCATGCAAAGCTCTTCTGTTTTATCAAGTATCTAGAAGGTAACGGGGTGTTTCAGCCCTGACAAACAGTGACAACTGAGCTTTACATACCTCCCCTCCTTCCTTCAATTAGCAGCTGTCGAAGGGAGACTTGTGTGCCAGACACACACAAATACATGTAGAAAAACAGCTAAACCAGTCTGGTGAGGTGGGGTTTTTTCTTTTTTTTTTTTCCCTTTATGCAGCAAAATCTACTGCATAACCTTGCCAGATTGATAGCTCCACGGATTGCTCTTTTTCTAGAGGCATGAATAAAACTACCACTCGTTTCTTTGCTGATGAGCTCAGCTGCCAGTCTAGGTGGGGAATGAAATAATTCCTTACAACTCTCTAATTTATTGCAAGGCTCACCTTGTCTTCTTGCTGCAGGGAGAAGGTGGATGGCTTCTTCTGCAGTTATTGGCCCCTGGGTTGCTTAAAACTCTTATTTATGATTCCCCAGCCTGTTGGAATAGTGGTTCCCTAGAGCATCAGCTTTGCAGCGCTGTCAGAAGGAGCTGCCTTGTTGATGGAGCCCGTCAGGAGAGGTTTCCCACCTGGTGTTTGCTGTAGCACTGGTGCTTCTTCTGGTTTTGTAACCACAGGTTGGGGGGGAAACCCATCTCATCGCAGTGTTTTTAATGGTTATCTTGAACAAATGGGTAACAGCACATTGGAGCTCACTGGCAGCCCCTCCACACCCCGTGTGGTGTTGCCGTAGGGAGGCGAAGGCTTTGAGGAACCTGGTTTTGAGGCATGTGTTGAGGACAAAGCTTATTTCAAACTTCTCTGTTTTTGTAAAGGCAGTTTTCCATGGAGGAAACGAGTCTTCTCCTCCACCTGCTGCCTCTGTGGTCAGTGGATGTCTCACTAACCTTGTGCCCTCCTTCCATTGCAGTGACAATGCAGCAAGTGGCCAGGACGGTGGCCAAGGTGGAGCTCTCTGACCACGTGTGTGACGTGGTGTTCGCCCTCTTTGACTGCGACGGTGAGTGACCCCAACCTCTCCCCATTCCTCTCGGACAGGCTGGGCAAGAGTCCATCAGGGGGGAGAAATACAGAGGGGGGAAAAAAATGCCAGCCATGAAAGCTGGCCATGGCCTTGGCTCTTCTTGCCATGGCCACTCCTTGGCCATGGGTCTATACTGATCCTCCTGCCCTTCTGGGAAGGTCTCTGGTGGTACCCAGCTCCTGAGATGTTGATCTTCAAGCACTGGATGCAAGTGTTTGCATCCGTGGCTTGCTACACAGTTGTTGTTCCTCCCCAAAGTCGATATTTTGTTTAACAAAACGAACTGTTTCACTCCAGTGTTGGAAATGAGCCAATCTGGTAGTTTATCTCCACAGTCCTGGACAAATAACAGCTTAATTAATTAATGGCAGCTCTGTGCCCTGCTGGAAAGCTTGTTCCTTTGCTGGTCCACAGAGGATGCAAGCGCTTGGGGGTGGCTTCTTGCCCCACTGAAAGCCATCTTGGTTTATTTAATGAGAATTAGCTGAGTCTTTGCCACCGGGGGATGATGGCAGCAATTCAGACTTGGGAAGTAGGAAAGTAGCAAAATTCTCCATTTGCCCCAAAACTACTGAGCCAAAACTTTGCTGGCTCCCTGCTTCTCCTTGCCCAGTCACTGGGATCTGGCAGCTCTGAGCAACAGCAGTGATGTGTAAATAGACAGTCAATATGAACATTAAAAAATTTCTTTCTTCCTTATTTTCCCTCTCAGTTTCAGCCTCACCTACTTCTTTTCACCTCTCTGAGGCTGCATCTCTTGTTGTATTTTTCTGTGTGCTTGAGTGCCACTTTCTGGTACGATCCTCAAGCCAGATGAGCAGGCTGGAGAGCAGCTGAATACTGCCTGCATCCTCTCATAGGAAAATTTCCTAAATATTTTGATAGCAAACCTCTGGGGGGAAAGACTGTGATTGCCACAGGAGTCCCTGTAAGGAAGGAATCAAGTGGAAAAGCAGGCGTAGACCTTTTTTTTCTATTATTATTTTTTGGTGTGTGTGTTTTCACTCCCCTGGTGTTTACAGACATTAATATGCATGCATCAAAAACCTGCAGCACTGGAGGGAATTTTACTGGCTCCTTGAGAATTTGCTGGAATTTCGCTGCCCAGATTTGCATGTGGATGTGAGGCAGGGGGAAAAAAAAAACCCTCTCAAATTAAGAGACTTCATGGAATATAATGACGTGGTTCCCTGGATCAACCAGAGAGTTTCTCCCCTTTGATGTGGGGAACCGGTGGCACTGGAGGGCTTGATTCTTGAGGGCTGATGTCCCTCTTATTTCTTCTGTGCCCAAAGATGGGTTGCTTTCCTGTGCTGTTCCCCAGAAGCTAAAATCAGTGCTATCAGCTGTGTGTCACAGGCAGGGGAGGGAAAAGAGGGAAAACAGGCGATGGGGTACGTGTGGCATCATGGCACAAGGCATCAGCCCCTTGGCAGAGAGGTGTCAGGCTGTCAGTGGCACTGGGACTTGCTGCTGTCCCCTCTCTGATCCACCAGCGCCCTAAATAAAAACCCCAGAGGTTTTAATTTATGGGTGGCTAAGCAACTCCAGAACAAAATTTGCTCCAATTTACTGTAATCCTATTTTTAACACAAGTATAATTGACATAATTCTCAATAACCTCACTAGATTAATGAATCTCTCCCTTTACTCCATTAAGAAAAAAAAAATCTGTGCTTTTTTATGCTGTGCTCCCCTAATTTCCTAAATCACTTAAAGCAGAGTGTTTCCTGCAGCTGTGTGGGCATTTACTTTTCTGTCTTCGAGCCCCAGTGCACGAAATGAGACTCGTGGCTGCTGCCTGCTGAAGTTAGTGCATGCAGGAAGGATGCTGTCAGTGGGGTTTTAGCATTTATCATAGAATCATAGAATTGCCCAGGCCGGAAGGGACCTCCAAAGGCCATCTAGTCCGACCCCCCCGCAGTCAGCAGGGACACCCCCAACTAGACCAGGTTGCCCAGGGCCTCATCGAGCCTCTCCTTGAATATCTCCAGGGATGGGGCCTCAACCACCTCCCTGGGCAACCTGTTCCAGTGCTCCACCACCCTCACAGTGAAGAACCCTCTTCTAATCTCCAATCTAAATCTGTTCCCCAATAGCATTTTTATTTATGGTTTTGGGTTTTTTTCCTTCTGGCAGGGAATGGTGAGCTGAGCAACAAGGAGTTTGTGGCCATAATGAAGCAGCGCCTTATGAGAGGCTTGGAAAAGCCCAAGGACATGGGCTTCACTCGTCTCATGCGGGCGATGTGGAAGTGTGCCCAGGAGACGGCGTGGGACTTCACCATGCCCAAGCAGTAGTGGGGTCGGGGAGGAACCGCCCGGCTTCCCCGTCTCAAACCCCACCACCAGGGCCACCTGAGGGGTGGCACCAGGCTCTGGCGAGCCCAGACTGTTGGTAACAGGAGATTTATGTAAATCAAAGTTAGGAATCAAAGCCTGTTGTATTCGCAGCTTCCGCTTGCCGCTGGCCCCTTCATATTCCTGTCTCTCAGGATAAAAAGGACTTTTCTTAACTGCCACCACCTCCGCTTCGTGACGTGCCCTGCCTGCGGAGCTGGGCAGCCAGTCAGCTGGTGGGGCTGCAACCAAACCACCTTCATTTAATGTTTTTACAAAGGCATGGAGTTTATTTTAATTCTTAGGTTGCCCCTAAGAAAGAAGCCTTGAGGTTCCTGGATGGACGGTACCAGTGGGACCCAGGAGAAGAGGCTGGAGCAGGCAGGTGTTGAGAGCACCCCAGGAGTTACGTCGGACAAATACTCTGCAGAATGTTGTTGTTTTTTTTATAAAGGGGGAGCCTTCTCCGTGGGGAATTGCCTATCTGTACCGGGAGCAGGCTGAACAATGTTATTTGCCAAGTAAAAGCACCGTGTACAGGCGTTGCTGATAACAACGTGCCTCGTGGCTCATCTCTTTGCGCTCTGCTCCGGCTTTTCGCTGGTTCTTCACCCGAGTCTGGTTGGCGAGTCATCGGAGAGGGGGTGTTTTGGGAGGGGGAGAAAAAAAAAACCACCACAGTATCACAGAATCATGGAATGGTTTGGGTTGGAAAGGACCTGAAAGAGCATCGAGTTCCAACCCCCCTGCCCTGGGCAGGGACACCTCCCACCAGAGCAGGTCGCTCCAAGCCCCATCCAGCCTGGCCTTGAACCCCTCCAGGGATGGGGCAGCCACAGCTTCTCTGGGCAACCTGGGCCAGGCTCTCACCACCCTCACAGCAAAGAATTCCTTCCTGAGATCTCCTCTAAATCTCCCCTCTTTCACTTCAAAACCATTACCCCTTGTCCTATGGCTCCCCTCCCTAGTCGAGAGTTCCTCCCCATCTCTCCTGGAGCCCTTTTAGTGACTGGAAGGGGCTCTAAGGTCTCCCTGGAGCCTTCTCTTCTCCAGGCTGAAACCCCCCACCTCTCTCAGCCTGTCCTCACAGCAGAGGGGCTCCAGCCCTCTGAGGATCTCCGTGGCCTCCTCTGGACGCGCTCCAACAGCTCCATGTCCTGATGATGGAGGCCGGACTCACAGATCACAGAATCTTCTAGGTTGGAAGGGACCTTAAAGATCATCTTGTCCAACCGTCAACCCAACTGACAAAAATAGACACCCACCCACACAACAAGCAAGGAGCATCATCACTAAACCATGTCTCCCAGCACTACATCAACCCGTCTTTTGAACACCTCTAGGGATGGTGCCTCAACCACCTCCCTGGGCAGCCCAGTCTAATGGCTGATAACCCTTTCGGTGAAAAAATTTTTCCTAATATCCAGCCTGACTCCAGGCGGGGGCTCACCGGAGGGGGACAATCCCCTCCCCGGCCCCGCTGCCCACCTTTTATTACCAATTACCGGTGATTTTCCGGACCAGGAAGGCCTGAGGCGCTGTGAGGGCTGCGGCCGCCATCTTGTCTCTCTGTCAGTTACCCGCCCCCCCCCGGCCCCGCCTCCCGCGTGACGCCAGCAGCCCGCCTGTGACGCCATCGCTCCGCGCGCGATCCCGCC